TATATATGTCTATATGGGCAGTCAGCTGGTTTGTTCTGGTAAATGACGCCACCTGACCACTGTCCATTGACAAACACAGTCAGAAATAATGGTGTAAATAATGAACATTAGTGAGATTCAATCAGCGGTGGAACACCGTGTCAACAGCCGGCATCAGGGACCCACCTGCGGCTCCGAGTGTGTGTGCAGTCCCGGTTAATCCGCGGAGCTCCACGGTGGAGGAGGTGGAGGAGGTGGTGGAGGTGGAGGAGGTGGATGTTTCCTCAGAGCTGATGGTGCTGCTGTTTACATTCAGAGGTGGAGGCTGAGCGCCGTGAGTCCTGTTGTCCTCCGAACACAGCCGCCATTCCCCCGGTGTGCGTCCGCCCGTCAGTCCCGCTGCATGCAGACGGAGGTCGGTACTTCCCCCGGACAGCACCCGGTGAACCTGAGCGTGTCCCCGACGGACGATGTTGAGGATGAACGCAGGTCTGTGGTTACGACACCTCCGCACTTCTGCTGCACAACACAAGGAGAAAGGCGCCCCCTGGCGGGGAACAGCCACCTGCAGGGGTCAAATACAAAGTGATGAAGTTCCTACAGGCAGAATACTTTGGTTAGTGGTGCAGGACGTAGAGAGGAAAAGGATCAGAAGAGATTGCATGACAACAGGGGGGAACAGAACTGAAGGAATTAACTACAGTAGAGAGACAGAATATGAGAAGGGGAAAAATGTAAGGACAAAAGAAGGAAGAGAGATATAAAGAGAAAAGACTGTGACACACTTTGGACTGTGGGATGATGCTGAAGAACCCAGAGAAAATTAAAACTCCACAGTAAAGACCCAGACGGAACCAGGATTCAAACCAGGGACCGTCTTACTGTGAGGCAAGAGTTGAAAACGCCGCACCACCATGCTACCCAACCTCATCAGACCCCCTTCCACAAATACATGTTGGGCCTATCAGACCACACCCGACAGGAATAAGAAACCCACCGGTTATAAAAAGAAATAATAAAGGAGCAACACTTCCAATTATTTTACAAAAATTCAATTTATTGTGCAATGACAATATCTTGGCTCCAGTGAAGTCCATGTAATTGTAGGAAAACTGCATGGCAAAAGGAAGCAGTGCAAGAAACTCCATGCACAAGCATCGCTAAAGGAGAAACAACTAACTAACCCGAGGATTTGACAGTGTGAGCACGTGTGTGTGTACTGAAAATGTGACTGTTCTCCAGTCCTGTAGCTAATTTTATATATGAAGCAAAAGCAGTCATGGAAATGAAACAAAGGAAAAAAAAGGCAATTAGATTCAAGTAAACAAATATTTCCTTCAAGTTTGATCATTTGGTCCAAAACAAATTTAAAAAAGCAAAATAATGAAATACATAAAATCTATTAAGTATAAAAACATGAAATAAATACATTTTGTGCCATGGATTAACATTCAAAATGTTGATGAACACAAGAATAAAAATGGCAGCGATATTTCCCGAGTGGAAGGATGTCTGTGCAGGGAAGTTTATAATTGCTCACATTTACACTTAAGAATCCGTGTTTCATTCATTCTTTTCATATTCAATTAGAAAACCAAAATCGCAAAAATTTAAAGACCAAGTCATTATTTTACGTATTTGATACCAAAAAACTAAATAGCGGTTTCTTTTTCGGAGTTTGGATTTTTTGCTCAGATCAAAAACAGGAAATGAAAAAACGGGTCACAGGCCGGACTTGATTTTGATATTTTATTTGTATGATTTGTGTGACCCGGAAGTTACTGACTCGTTAACTTAGACCTTGAACGAAGGATACACGAATTCTGAAGCTCAGCTGATTTAAAAATCTACACCTATATAGGCAATTAAAATGTATCATATTATTATTTCTGTGACTAAAAAAAGTAAATGACTTTACAAATCTGTGTATTACTAAAAATAGACTTTGAAATATCTTTCCAACATATTAAAAAATATCCCAGAGTAATAATTCATACATATAAAAATGGTGCTGTGGAGTTACTGTACAGTTGGGGGGTTATGGCACAGAAAGAGACTGAAGGACAATCGGTGCTGTGTATAAAACCAAGATACTTAGTAGCATCTCGATGTAAAAAGACAGACATTGCTATATGTTGGCAGAGGAGCGGAGGATGTTGAATCTCTTCAGAGTCATGCGGAGGGATCCCAGCTCACGATTCACTCTCTCCAGGCGATTCTCTAAGGCCACCTGAGGACGACAGTAAAGCAAAAATGAATTGGCTCTTTTTTTAGCATCATTTTATTGACCTCTGACCCCATCAGCTTGTCATTTTTTAACAATACACATATAAAACAAAGGAAAGCAGTCAGTTTGACATTCTAAGTTGAAAT